CTTTTTCCTCCCTTCCTTTCACAGGAGCTTTAGAAAATTGCTTTTTGATGATTTGGCAAATTGTATTTATTTTTAAATGAATCTCATTTATTGAGATTGATAATGCAGGTTTCATTTGCTATGAAATTGCATTTCCCAATTGCTTCCAATGACAAGTTCTGACAAAATATGGTCCAACATGCCAGTGAAATAAAGATTTTTTTAAAAACCTCAGTTGACCTACTCTGTAAATGGAGTAATTATCTTTTATACTAAATTCAAAACACTGTTAAGATTGAATTGAAAAATTACTAGCAAAATGTTGACACTAAATTCTTTTAAGAATTAGGCAAGTATTTACACAAACACAAAAGTATTCATAATAAATTTTCAATTTGAATAATCTTAAAAATTTTGGTCACTGTCCAAGTATATTTTCTATCTCTGTTATCAAAGAATTATTAGAAAATAGTCATCAATGCTTATTCAGAAAATTCTTTTTAATCAGATACTAAGTAACATGAAATATAAAGCAGTCTGATTTACTTTGTAGGACTGCAATGGGAAGTTGGCCCTGAGGTACTACAAAATAGTCATGTGCCTCCTGAATCATCAGAGCATTATTATTTTCACCTTAGTAGTATTTCAATAGTATTAAGGACATTTTTTAATTAAAAACTAAACCTGAAAATTTGTCAGATGCAATATCTCAATAGCAGCACTGAAATAGTGATACTAGGTACAGAGGGAAAAAACTTCATTTTAAACAACAGCACTCCTGGTTCTTAAGGAATCTGACAAGGTAAATTGAACAACCATGGTAAGAGAGCTTCCAAAATGAATTTATAACATGTTAGTTTATGATTATATACATGTGAAGTCCTCAAAAAATGGTAGAAACAAACACACACACATGCGCACAGTATCTACTGTTTGGATGGGGTTGTTGTAGGTTTTGTAATTTTGCTTATGTAAGTCAAGGAGCTCTCAGAAAGAGATTTAGGATTCCTAACATATATCCAATTAAGAGACAGAGAGAAATATTTTTTTCCCCATGAAAATTAAAGATTCTGCCCCAAGGCTAACTTTTTGAAACTCTTTACTTCTCATTTTAAGTTATTTTTTAAAATTCCATTTTACTAGTAGGCAGTTGGAAAGTTGTTACATGTACTATTTCATTTATATCAATTCCAGGAATAAAGGCTTTTGTGTAGTTATACCCTCACAACTAATTTCTACTTCATTCCGTACATTAAAACACAGTTGTAAAGTTAAATTTAAATCTGTTAACATTTAGAGTTACCTACTCTGTGATATGGCATGGGATGCTTTAGAGAGTAACATTATTATTCAGTGTAAAACTCTTTTATTTCCATACCGTGAAAACCCAGAAAGCATATTTCTAAATTTGATTTTCCAGGTAAGGAGAGAAAACTGTGTAAAATGAAATGATATTGTTAATTATAGCCCGTAAGATATACTCTGGCATTCAACTAGTTCAGGTAAGTCTGTTACTGATTACTAGTAAGCTCTGGTCACAAGCCTTTTCTAAGCTAGAAGGGAAGAAACTCTACTTCTCCCCATTTCCCCTGACAGCAAGTATTTTTTTGCAGTGTGAATTCTAGGCATTCCAAACATTATCTAAAGAAACATTTACAATGCAATTCTTCCAAAAAGGTTACATTTGCCCCACCATTAAACTCCTAGTTAAAATAAAAGGTATTAGGTTGTAACACATTTTAATAATGCACACAAAGAAATCCAAGTGCAAAATTAAACATAAAAGAAGTATTGACCTTTTTGGGTCTTAACACACACAACCCCCAAATAGCAAACTCCTGGTTACTTTTTTAAGTAAGCAGATTAAAAACAAGATTAACAAAATGTCCAAAGCATGTCAAATTACAGCCTCTACTTGGTAAAAAATCTGTTGGTTTTAACACTGTTGGTGGGCATTTTGGCCTAGGATTTTTAATATAAATGAGACTTGAAATGACAGGGCATGGGGGAAGGGACTTTCCTTCATGAATAGTTAAAAAGGGAAACTTTTACCTAAAATGAGTTATCTAAAAGATGAAAAAGAATATTCAAAATCAGGCTTTACCAAAACTTGAATATACAACAGATATTAAAATACAAGAGCAGTGCTATACTATTGAAGATTTTTTAAAAACCTTACATTTTTTGAAGGTAAATACATAAATTACTTGGGGAAATTATTTAATTGCTAACTAAAAATTACATATTTTTATTTTTCCTACATAGGTTTCCTAACTGATAATCTAAAGCCATTAAATTATATGACATAATTTTACAGCCATTAAAATATATCAAGAAAAATGACATAGCCAAGTAGTTGTTATAATAGGCATCTATATATACACATATCTATATAGATAGACATGTAGTATCTTAGAGTTTTATTAGTATATACCCTTTAGAACGATGGTGCTTGTTTTTTTATTAATGTGGTAATAAAGTCTAGTCAAGTTTGGTTAAAAAGCTATTCTATTCAAATGCAAATTGTTAAGGAGTTTACTTGATCTCTTACGAATTTGCTCAAAATAGTGAACACTTCCTTTAATTTTCTTCTTAATTCAGGATGTGTTTTAAGAAATTTTTGATTTGGAACATTTCACAAGTCTACTTAAACTAATCAACTTTACTACCTTTCTTATGTATTTGAGAAATACTACAATGTTTAACCTACAGACCTTTTTTTTTTTAAAGAAAGTGATGCCTGGATAGACCTTAAATTGAAGTTGTAAAACTCAGCTTGTGTAAAAGTCCCTCTAGTCTTATTGACTGAGAGGCAGATAAAAGCTATTGAAAAGTACTCAAATGTAAGCATTTCCAACCTGGATATACTAATCAATTCCCCTCCCACCCCTGCCCCACCACAAAGCACAGTTCATTTAGAGTAAGAAATGGAGACTTTTAGTTAGAAAAAGAAATAAATCAATGGTTAAGTGTAAATCTACAGTTTTAAGAAGACACATTAACTGAATACACAGTGTCAAGTCTAACCTAAGCTTCATTACTTGGTCATTGCTCTGACTGATGCCACATTCCCGTGTGAGGGCTACCATGAGTCAATAGATGGCAGTCCATCGCCTAGAAAAAGAGCTGAAGATGACTAAATTCACCATGCATCTTGCTTTTATTCAAGATTAAATTTTGCTTAATTGCATATATTTGGATATTGCCTATATATGTAATTATTTATTTTATTTTAGATGGATTGATAGATACATACATGTTTATAAAGATACTAGTTTTGCATTTTTACTTGCATAGTAAATTATTCTTAATTACTAATAATTTAAACTTGATAGTTATGAATTGTTACTTCATTATTATTCTGAAAATTAGCTCCAGACTGAAACACATGGATTTTTGAAAATGATTTTGTTATATTTATAGATAGAATATATTACAACTCCCTAAAGGGAAATTCATTTTGTTTTCATTTATTTATTCCTAACTATTCCTTTGACAATCTGTTTTATTTTCAAAAGCTACAGTATTAAACAAACCTTCAATATTTGTCATACAAAACATCAATTTCTATTCTTCTATGACAGTTATATAAAAGAACATAGGTACAAATAATGAAACGAGTGGCTTTAAAATAGTACTTTCCGCACTTAATGTTTTCAAGATTAGAATTCTCCACCTTGTGGAAAAGGGAAAACAAATGAAATGTCAAATCAATTAGTCTATTACTCAATAAAAATACTGATGAAAAAATCAGGCCATTCAGTTACAAAGAATGACTATGACCTGAAAAGTTTAGGGAATAAAAATTTTACCATAGTATGTTAGGATAAAAAAATAGCTATATAAGCCAAACATAATGTATCCATGTGAATTCTATCTGTAACACATATGGGTATATGCATATATATTTTCTGTTATAACACTAAAGATTTTAATAAAATCCAATTTGGGATTGAGGGATAGTTGAGGAATTAGAGCTTTCTACTGAGAATCTTTAAATAAATTCAGTATGATTGTAAAATAAACCACCTGATATTCCTTGCTTGCTGGGCCTGTGACAGATAAATTGATAGTGTGAGTCTTCTAGTTGGTGTACTTTTTATTTCTATAAAAGAGCAGTAAGAAGACATGTTTTGTAAAAAATGTTTGCCCTTTCCATTTTTATTACTTGTCTTCCTATAAACAAAAACTTTTTAATATGTTAAACTTCAAGGAAAATAGCTTTTAATTACACTGCATAACTGTATAATTACAAGAGGAATTTTTATTATCTCTTGCTCAGCATAACATATTTAATACACTAAAAGAAGTGATTGGGAAGGATATGGTGAATTATTGAAATTTTAAGCTGAATATTAAAAATAAACTGACTTCATAATACCTAGCATTAGCCAATTGATTCCACAGAACACCGTCTTCTGCTTTGACTTAGTCTAAAATCATAATAAAAGGAAACCAGAGAATTGAACAACTTGAATGGTATTAAGCAGATGTTTATACTCTCTGAATAAGTCAAGAGGAGCTTAAGGATATGACAGTTGAATTGGTTTATATGAAAGATACATTAGGCTTTTTTTTAGCTTTGCTAAAAAATTTGTGCAAATATTTCAGTAAAGCCAGAAAAATGACAATGGAAGATACTGTGAACTGTATGCTTGTGAACTAAAGGCAATATGACATTTTAAAGACACTGGATTACTATTATTTTTTTATAGCTCCTAGCATATTTTTCCTCTTCAATTCAATGAATGTAGTCTAGAAAGTCTGAGATACCATGATGTAATCATTAAGTGATGTGAGTAATAAAAAATTAAAATCTTTGAAGAGTAGGAAGATACAGGATACAGTAGTGGGCAGAGGAGAGGAGAAAAAAGTATATTATTGCTTTCTCAGTGCAAAAACTCTTCAGATGTTTATTATCTTCCAGTAGAAGATGCCTGTCTATATTTTATGGTCAGCAGTTCAGAGAAGGATAAATAGGCTAGGTCTTGGGGAAAATAAAAAAAGGTGTTTCTACTCACCGTTAGGTGATACTGCCTCCAGATTTCTGGGCAAGCCTGGAAAATAAAAATATTGATCAGCTGGGAGCATGAAACAAGGTACTTTACAGCCTGTTGGTTTTGGCATAACCCAGCATCCACTGGTGTCGGTCACAGGAAAATAAGAAGCTTAACAGAAAGGGTCTGCATTTCAGCTTCAAAAACCTGGCTAGACAGTTTAATTGAATTTTACACTGGTTTAACACACTCCCTGCCATTGTCAGAAAGCCAGTAACAAAGTTTTCTCTCTCTTTTTTTTCTTTTCATGTTAGAAGTTTTGGGCACTGAGTGTGATTAAGAGCCATAACTCAGTTAAACTGATAAAGGAACAGCAGTGGTCAAAATCAATAAGATTCACCAAGTACACCTTTTAAAATAACATTTTGAACCTTGTAGTATGATAGAGAACAATTTAATAGCAACTGGTTTTAAGAAGACTTCACAGTAGTTACATATTTCTGATGTCTGTTGCCATCTTTTACCTAATCACTTGCTGCTAACTTTCAATACTTGGTAATAGAGTAAAAAGAGAATTAGAGAAAAAAAACAAAAGAAAAAAAACCCCTCAAGAATCTAAAGTCCATGTCTTTTCCCTTTTAAGTCAAGTCTTTTCAACCTTGGCATTTATAGAGAAATAACTTTAAAAACCCAACAAAACCTCAATAATTTTGTAAAAGATGGGTTTACTGAAACTAAAAAAGGCAACAACACAACAAAACATGCAAACCAACAAAACACCAGAGGCAACAAAAAAACCAGATAGGAGATAGTTTCTTATGAATACAGACATAAATCTTTTCCTTATACCTAAACTGTAATTGTTAAAGAGATTTTTTTTAACCAAGCTCTTTCTGAACAGTTTGTCAATTTACATCTTTTCAGAAAAAGAACTGTAGATGACACAAAAACTATTTTTTAATAGTAACTATACTATAGCATTAATTTAAATAAATTTAACCACCAAGCTAAGTAAATGGCAATTCTCGAAGTGAATGTGAACTTATAGCTTTTGTTTAAATGTGTGACATACACATATGTACATACATACACATATGCATGCCTAAAATTAGAATGAGTTGTCTTCTTTAATCCTTTATAATCTCTGCCATACATTTTGAAATAATTCTTTACCTGATTTGTCATTCCTCTTTCAATTATTTTTCAGAGTAGCGATAAAACAGAGATAATCCACACAATCTAAAAATATGATGGGTGTGATAATAATTCAGAGAATAACTTTCAAGTGGGAAAATCTCATGATTAAACCACTGTAAGTGATTAGACAAAAAAGAGTAGATATGTTCCAGCTATGCTGAAAATTTTATACATTATGCATTTTAAGCCTAACTATCCTATGTAGTTTTCTAAAGAAAGGTGTGTAAATAAGGTTATTTAGTGGTCAGCTTTCCCATTTAAATGTCATATTCATGCAAACTAAGGGGTCTGACTAAAAAAAGTCACTTATACACAGTGATTGCTGGATAAACAACACTGATCAGAAGGAAACTATTTTTTAAAAAGTAAAAGGTAGGTCAGAAGGCAAAGAACGTGTTAGGTACCAAATAACAGCCACAAACTTAGAGGTTACAAAGTTCTAATGAATATATACATATATAAAAATATCTGTTTTTATGAATATACTTACACACAAAGATTTAATGTAAGATATACCCTAAATATCCATTTCCTGCCTTCTGGCATAAGCTTTTACTGGGTATATATAATCTGAGTGGGTTGCTGTAGAGATAAACAGTTATTTATACATTAGTTATGGATAGTTCTTGATTACAATGTCCTCAGAATACTACGGTTGAAAAATCGCAATCACTGAGTTGTCATACATGGGCAGAATACCACTCTACCATGTGACCTTTGCTTGTGTTGCAGCAATTTAGTAATAAAAGAAAAATTACTTGGTTTTTGAACAATCATTTGATTGCTCTGTATATGAAGATGATGCCTGATATAGAAAATTAGCAGTGAGAGATGTGAAACTCCTTTTCTCTTACTAGACAACAGTATTACGATTTTTAAAAATCCTACCTGTCTTTTAAGTACCTTTACTCAACCTTCCCAAGCATGGTTTCATTTTACTATTTTCTATATATTTCTATGAAAGGTTGAAAAGAAGTAAATATTTTTCACTTCAAAATAGGTGCCAATATATATATAACTATGTATCATTAAAAGATTTTTTTAAATGTTAACTTTTTTTTATTGTGGCTTCTACTTCTTTTACCACCTTTCATCATTGCACATCTTTTTCTTTTTAGCAAATAGAATGCCATAGTATTCATTTTTATATATCTATTTTATGGAAAATTTAGAAAACTAAAGTAACTTGTAAAGCATGAGGCTTGTTATTACAGAGGGAATTTTTTAAAAAATTTAACATATTTAAAATGATTAGTCTGCTGTGGAACTAAGATGAAAATGTAACAAACTATAAAAATGCAACTGTGTTTACTGGTTGTCTTGGTGATCTCACCTTACTGGCACTGAGATGGATGGCAACCCAAAGGGCTTTCTCAAGTCTCACAACTGAAAACACAAAGTGTACTTGTACATCTGTTTTAGCAACGTGCCACACTGTTTGCCAACTTTTGCCCAACTAGTTTTCCCGTCTATTGTATTTTGTATAATAAACCATACATGAATAACTGTTATTATTCATAAAATTCCAAGATGAATCAACACAGTTTGCCACACCAGATGAATTGAGAGTTTATATTGTGCATTTCTACCCATATTGAATTTTATCAGGTGCTAATTATTGTTTTACGAGAACAACGGCTTAGTGCATCTGTTGTTTAATTCCCACTTCCCTATTCTCAAATGTGAACATCAAAGAAAATAAAACACTCAATCTTAAACAGCCCCTGACAGCAGACCAAGACTCAAGTGCTCAATAGACAAGGCCCTTGCCACCAGTTCTCATATTTCCACAACAATGAACAAACACAAAAACAGCACTAAGCGGCCTTTCCTCCTCCTCAGCTCCCCTTGGCCAGTTGTCTGCCTTGTAGGAGAGAGAGCCCCTGAACGCAGCCCTGCTGGGAACACAGCACAGGAGAAAGGATTAGCCTTACTAACATGCTAGCATTTGCAAAAGGGAAGAGCCCCCCCCAACCCAGTACTGTATTTGGTATATGAATAACCAAAATGTATGAGCTGACAAGAGACCAGGACAGGCCTGTGGCTCCCCGGGAGAAAATGTAGCTGTGATGAGTGACAGGGCTTTCAGGAAATATGTTCACAATCACAGACAGTGAAGGCCATGACCTAGATCGTTTAAGAGCTTGTCTTGTCAAATTATCAAAAGCTTCTTCCTCTCTGAATAAAGAGTGACATAAGTGAGTGTCAGAAAGCTGCAGGCTGACAAGCCAAGCATACAATAACAGAATGCACGTCACATACATGCTGAACACCGCCACTGCTAGCGGCAAATCTTAATGAGAGCGCGGCCAGCCCAGGAGACTTGGGTCCCTGCTGGCACAGCTACTCATCTCACAAAAATCCTTCAGCTCCAAGTCAGTTAGGCTCTGACACGACAACTACAATTACGAAACACAACTTTTTAACAGAATCCTCTGGTGCTTTGTCAAAGCCTCTGTTGTTAGGAGCTGGTGGCCCCCTCAAGTCACTGCAGCAAAACAAAAGATTTAATAAAACAAGCAATATTCATTGATGGTGAATAACAAAAATGAAAAAGAATAAAGAGAATAATGTAGTTTAAAATTTGTTGAATGAAGACATGGAAAGAAGAGCATTCTAGCCTCTGGACTCAACCACCACTTTGACTTTTCCATATGCACATTAATATGATTTTAGGTGCCTTCCCTAAAAAGAATGCCCCTACTCTGGAACTTCATCAGCAGCTTCTCATATAATTATAGCTATCAAATCATTTGTGCAGATACTTTGGTAGTCATTGTATATATACACTATTCCTCAGAAACAAAAAATATGTGTCTATCCTATTAAACATATACTATGAATATTTGTGATATAAAATTTCTCCTATGAAGAATATTTTGAAGTGAACCTCTTGGGCATTAGTTTTCAACCAAAATTTCATAAGGACTCTGAGGTCTGAAATCATAGAAATATACAATTAAAATTCAAGATGTGAGTTACTTAATAATGCTTGTTATATTTCTATTGTATAAAAATTTGTCATTCATAGTAAAGAGGAACTGTAAACATACAACAGATGTATGTAGCAGTGTGTACAGAATCTACATAACTATTTTTCACCAATCAGTATGGAAAGCCATGTATTGGTCTCTATCTCTAAGCTCCCTCCAAAATGAACTAGACTTAATAAAATCATCTTAATAAAATCAATCCCTATTCCCTTAATCCTCTGTAATCAGGGAAAATAACAAGCCTAATTTTTTGCACAAAGATATTTCTCTTCGATACTCTCCTCCTAACTTAAGTGCAGTTATGAGGACAGTAAGTTTGTCAGGAGTTGATTATATTTCAGTTTAATTTGAACTGTAACACCTCCTATTTTATGGGGAATTATATAAAAATAATCAAACAAAAAATAAAACAAATCATACACATGCTACACTGGGTTATCATAAGCAACTGAAAACATTTTTTTCACATCAGAGAATCACAAATCTTTATGGAGACATCTTGATTGTGATTCTAGACTACTGACATAAGTTAATTTTATGAATAGTTGATAATGCTTGTAGTACACTGCTAGTTCTTAGCTAAAGGTAAGTAATATAAAAGCCAGTAAAATGCAGCATGATAATGTAGCAGCTAAAATCAGTGACTCTAGAGCCAAAACAGTTGAACTCAAATCCTGGTTCTACTATTTTACTATCTTGGGCAAGTTATACATCTCTCTGTCTACTTTCTTACTGATAAAATGTGGGTAATAGTATCTTTTCAAAAGGATGTTGTGATGGTTAAAGAATTGGTAAGTATAAAGTCCTCAGAACAATGATCGACACATAGCAAGCACTCGGTTGCATTAATTATTGCAATGATGATGTCAG